GTATGTAGTATGGCAGTATAGATTAGCTAATTATCGCCCTGGGGGACGTGTGCTCGAATCGCACCAACACCACCTGCGCCTGACCTTCCCTGTTCTCCATCTGATGTGTCGCAGCCATTTGACTGATCGCTCTATGCCTCCCGAACAATGTTACGTCGAAAACGAACGCATCAACGACCAAAAACGTGTAGGCAAATCTGATTCAGTACCGTGAATATAACTTTTATTATCATTACTATCATTATTATTATAAACCATATCACATTTGAGATAATGTTTATCTCCGAGCATATTTATCGAAAATCACACTGGAATTAGAATCGCTAATATGTATGGGGAAACATCAATTTTCAATGCAAGAACATCGGTGTTAGTTTCATGGGACAGTGTTTACTTTTCCAGTTATCACCTAAGGCACTTGTGAATCAGTTCACTGATACGCCTTGATTCCCGGGCATTTGTTTCCGAAATTCAGATGGATGGACTATGGGATTATTGTGCCCGTCCGAATGAAATTGCGCATATAATGATCAGCTAGATTATTCACCTGGGGAGTCGTTTTGAGTTCATCCATTATGTCCTGTGGTTGAAAACACAACGGTATGACCAAGGCGGTTTCAGGACGAGGTGAGCGAGTAATCAGAGTGTTGTCGTGCGGCACAGCGGAGTGGTGAGGGAAGGTAAGCGGCAGTTGTGGGCTAGAAATATATCATCTCGGAGTTGACAAGCTGACTGCTTGGCCATGGCCATGACTATTCAGAAAACATTTCAAACATCTTTTGCACGCTTTTATAATGTTGTGCATGGTTTGGTCAAACAACGGTGACCTCGTCCTCGTTGTAAAAGAATCTGGTCAACATAAACACAACTTAAAGGGCTTTCTTTCTGACTATTTGGTACGGTATTTGATATAAATATATTCCGTGAAACAACTATTGTATTTCGTCAATTTTTATCTGTTTCTGGAAACAGTACTCGAATCTCGGTGAATCCGAAAGGATCGGATAACCAGTCAGCACTGGTTCATTGTGCCGCATGGAACGCAAAGGAGTATTCACTGGTAGGTGCCCTCCATCCGGAGATATCTCCATATTTCAATTCACCGCATTTGTTTCCGCAGATAACACCGGGATTGAGCTGATTCCATGGGTCAATAGAGGCGTGTTTTCAATCGAGTTTACCCTTGTCACAGATTGCACATACATGCAAGCCAGAAGGGGTCGGAGAAGCGTTCATTATGATATGTGAAGCAGTGTGATGAAACCTTCGGGTTGGCTTTATTGCTTTGATGTTTGTCGAATAGAGATTTACTTCGACGAACCGGGTTGAAAAACAGCACATTCCTCTCTACTTTACCAAAAGATGGATGGATGGAACTTTAATCCACCGAGTAGTATGTGAAACTGCATTGCTACCAAGCTGGCAATAATTCGGAAGGTCACATTTGGACTTGAAAGTTCGAAGTTACTTTAAACCCCTTTTGCATGCACTGGAACAGGTTTTGCATTGACATCTATCCTCAATACATCACACGAGCTTATGCGATTTCTATCTCTGAGGTTATTATTTCCGTTTTAGGCCATACTGCGGAACGTTATAACACATTACACAAACGCGCAATCTAATAAGGCCGCTAGTTCTATATATATATATATATATATATA